GCGCAGTAGTCAGTAGAGCCCGACAAGGAGATCTATGAAAAACTCCACCCCAGAAAAGAAAAAGGAGATTGTCAAACTGTGAAATTTCATGAGGAATACCACTACACCAGTAAACACTGTTGGCCTACCAGTCTGAACTGATAAAACGTACTTGTCTGCTACCATCTGAAGAGCTGTTGTTCTAGCTGTCAATTTGTATGGTATCAGTCCCCATTCGCACGCATAGATTTTTCTTTTCAAACACAGTGGACCCCGACAAGAATTCAATGGTGGGTCAGGCCCAGTACACTTGGGGGTGTCTTTTTTAATACACACCCATTGTCTTTTCTAAAGATATTCCCCCTCCTTACTACTTCCTATTCGCTGTTGCCACAAATTTTGGTTTTTTAACTTCTTCCTAAAACACCATATTATGCTATTTCTATAGGATTAATTGAAACATAATTTTCCCTTTTTTTAGTAGTTTTTTTCAGAAAAATGGAAGGAAATTAAAATTTATAGCACATGTCATGTGTTTATCTTATAATAATTTTTTTAAACGAAAATTAATGATTAGACTTTAAAATAATAAAAGGATGAAACATTATCTACATTAACAAAAAAAATATTAGACACCTAAAATAAAAGGAAAAATATTTTAAACTCTTACTTTTTTTAATTAAGCAATTCACGTGAAACATTTTTTAATCAAAAGCAATGTTGTTCCCTCTCTTTGTCGAAGTGTCTATGGATCGACATAGAATTTTAAAAAAAGGTTGAAAACATCTATATTGGGAACAACTATATTCCGAGATCTGTAAAGAAGTGGAGGTAGGGTTTAGGATCTTGTCCATTAAACTCCTGACTAAAGCCTAGAGACTATGTAACCCCATATCAAGGGATAGTGTCCTTTGCATCTGCTTATTGTTCACAATCCTAGAGGACCCTAGTCCTAAAGAAAAGCCATAACAAAAGGTGGGATCTTTGTACAACGAATGAGGATTCGTTTTCTTGTTGCTCCAACAAGCATTTAACAACAGCCTAGAGCTGCCTACGTTCAAATCCTATTGCCCATAGCCCCTACACAACAGTGAGCAGTGCAGTGTACTCAAATATGAACTGTATTGTAACCACACAAAGGTTCTCACTTTTGGCCGCAACAATGTCTCACTTTTGCCCATTGGACTTTTCAAGGATATTGCCTTGGCTTATTGGTTTCCATGGCAAAATCCTAAAAACCAAATGCAGCATTTACGGCTTATTCACCCTTCTACTGCAGGTTTACATACCCCACCCCGTGCACAGCTTTTACAGCATTAAACGTGGAAGAAAAAGATGCCAAAGAAGAAGGTGGTCCCGAGGCTAATTGGGATTATGATTTTTGTTCATTTACACAATCAAAATCCTAAAGTAGAAAAAAGTGACCTGAAAAAGCAAAGCCTATGCTAAAGATAGATTGAATGAATGAACCCAAGAAGAAGAGATATAAGTAGAACCTGCGTGGTCAGGCTTTTGACGGCTTCTTTGGTGCTAGGTGTGCCACTTCCACGCGCTCCTCCTACTTCTTCTTCCCCTCCATCCGCCATCTGCTTTGTGCACGCTATGCACGTAAACATTTTCCCTTTCTTTCCTTTTGATTTCTCGTCTCTGCTTATTCTGTCCCTGTACCTGTACCTGTACCTGAAAAAAGAAAATGAATCCATGAAACGTTGTTCGTGCACTGAGATGAGACATTGTTGCAGTAGAATAATAAACTGTGTCCCATTGAGATAGAGAAAAAGAACAATGGGGTCTAATTCCAAAATGTTTGGCAGGCAAGAAAAGAACAAAAGAGAAACCAAATTCATACAAGAAATCAATCCAACAAGTGCGAGTGTTGCATCAGCATCACCCCCTCATGGGTTTTGTTTTGACAGTGACACAAAGGAAAAGAGAAACAAAAAGAAAAAGAGTAAGCTCGGGATCAGAGAAGTAAGGCCACCTACACCCCAGTACCCCCACAAAAACTGCTTGCAAGCAGTCAATTATTGGGAAAATAAAATAAAATAAAGAAGGAAACATAATGGGACATACCAATTGGAAAGTAACCTAATTGATCAAAGGACCAAGATTGGAATCTATGCTTTGCTTTAACGTAACCAACAGAGTTCAAACTTAAAAACAATGCTCTGTTCAAGCAAGCCGATGTTTCTGAAAAAAAATTAAATTAACAAAGTTGAAAAAAAAAGAATAATATCGCAGAGAAACACTGGAGCAGTAGAGTAGTTTTCCTTTTCTTTTTCAATCTGTCTTTCTCGAGGACGATGACGACGACGACGAAGATGGACCTATTTCAAGTGTCGACAAATGAATGGACAAAGAGACTAGAATATTGAGATTTGTTTCGGTTGAAACCTCGAAAACTACCATTTGGCATCATTTATTGTTCGAAAACGACTTACCCTCTATACGCTCAAATGCTGTTTTCTTTCTTTTAGTTAGCTGTCCTTTATATATCTGCTTTCATTTCCTCAGCTCTCTGCTTCGCTCTGTTCTGCTTGTTTTGCACAGCTACGAATCAAAAACTGGTTTTTGGTCCATAAAAACACATACTTAGAACGAATAGCTTTAATAACAGTGTAAAACAATGCAAAGCATAAAGGAAAAGTAATGCTCTGTTTGATTGCTGAGAAAAAAACCTAGGGAAAAGAAGAAGAAGAGAAGACCCACTTGCCCTGGCCAACTTTAACAATAACCCAGTAAAGCCTTTGAGATTCTCAGTGATTGAACAAAGAAATTTTTGCTCCTTTCTTCTAAATTTCGGAAACAAAAAAAAGCACAAAGCTTTAAAATCCAATGGATTTGAGTTGAGAAAACGAGCTGAAAAAAGATGAGCCGAAAACGTACTATAATAGAAGGATTTGGGTGACAAAAATGCAGGCGATATATCGTCCGAGAATCCGATACCTTCCTCAAAACGGAATGTTTTGGATACGGAAAGCACAGGGATTTAGATTTCGGCAAATGAATCCAAAAATAGAAAATCACGCGTAGAGACAAGTAGACGAAAACAAACCAAGGGCGCTTCTATTTATATAGACCGAGATTGAGAGACGGGGTTAGGGGGTTGACGGTATCTGCGGGGTTCTGCCGTTAAATAACAGAAAACTAAAATAAATAAAAAATTGGTGGTCTCGGTTTGTTTTCGTTAGAGGCAAGGAGTTCGGGCCGCAGAGAGAGAGCATGTAGGGACCACGTGTTTTGCTGATGTAATAAAGGTTTAGGATAGGTGGCGGAGTTTGATTGGTTTAGATTCCATCGTATATATACTGCCTTAAGATTACTTCAAATTATTTTAAAAAAATACTTTATTTTAAATTAATTAGATTTTTAAAAAAATGATATCATCGTACAAAGGTAATTTTATACAATAACACATTTTCTTTTCTATTTACGTAGATAGAGTTAAAAAAATGTTTAGAAAATAATACCGTTATATGGTTAAAGATAAAAATATATATTATTATTATTATTATTATTATTGCTTGCTCCTCCTACTCTATTTGAGAAATAAATAAAAAGTATTGTTAACGTCGAAAAGAGAGTGAATATTATTGAAAGGAGACTTTTATACTGTGTTGGTACTCTTTTTTTTTTTTTTTTTTGCTCTGAATGGAATTATTTAGCGTTGAATGTTGAACCGTTCAACATTTAAACTGTTTGTTTCTCACCTCTAAATGATTCAGTGTTGACTAATTTAGCAAAATAGTATTGAATGATTCAACACATAAGTACATTCTGAATTATTCAGAGTTATTATCAAATATCATGTCATATTCAGAACTAATTCATACAGAGCATATGAATCATTCAGCATTTGAATTATTCAGCGTTTAATCATTCTGAAGTAAACAAACAGCCCCTAAGTTAGAATAATATATGAAACCTGTCAAAGCATGGGCAACACCACTCTTTGCCTTAAGGTAAGTAAACAAAGAAGAAAAGAGAGAAAAAAGGCAATTCCAATTTAATTCAAATCAGACGGATGGGATTTGATCACTCAATATTCTTAATGAAATGATAGTGCATATTCTTAGTATGTGATGATTGCAAGTAATATCTGTGTGAAAAACTATTAACTATTTGACAATAAACGTTCATAACTTCATTTGAGACCCATAATATACTGATCCAAATGGAATTGTGTGTCCTATATGCCAGAGAAAGAATTCAGACCCAAATCATACTCTAAGGGTCCAAAAACGGATTAGGAGTTAGATGTATGGGTTAAGAGCAAAATAATGAAGAAAGATGCACCTTTGGGGAATGATGATGGCACTGCAGCGCCAACACGCAAACTTGCAACATTTTGGACTGATTTTCACGCCTATTTCACCTCGATTGAAGCTCGTTTCGTTCTTTCTTCATCCAAATGACTCTTAACCCTAAAACCCCTTGTAAAACACTTATAAATATGTTTTTTTCATTAGACTTTAGGCACAACTTAGCAACCCTAGTCATCTACAACTTCATTTTACTTTGTAAGCATGATGGGACAAAGCTAAGTAACCCGCATGAATATCGCATTGTAGTTAGATATATACGTCATTCTAGACTTTGATATTTCTTTTGCAGTCAACAAGGTTGCTTAGTTCACGTAGGAGCCTACAGATGTTCATTGAACAAAAATGAAGAGAATTTTGAGATACTTGAAAGTAGGAATTAATTATGGTTTTTAGTTTTCTTCTCCACAAAGTCAAGTATTAACTCGTCTATTTTTCAAATGTTGATCGGAGAAGTGATGTTGATGATCATCGATTTATCTCCGGTTATTGTGTTTATCTTCGAAAAAATAAAGATCAATTCTAGCTCTTGTCATCTCGAATGCTTTAGGCATTTTGGCCGTTGAAGACGATAAATATTTCAAGAGCCTGTTTTGGAATTAATCTTCTTTGCTCTCTCGAACCATAACAACAGTTTTCAATTTCATTCTTCAACTATCATGTTTTGTATTACAAAGTAAAAAAAAAAAAAAACCAATAAGACGGTTGTTCCAGTAGCAGATGAGTAACAAAACCCGAATGGGTTGTCACCATGTATGAAAAATGACAGATTAGTGTTGAGTGAAATAACATTATTTGTCGAGTGTTTTTGTCATGAGCAAAGGTGACTCTTTACCCACTACGTGTTTTCATAGCCAAAATTGAGAGGGAGCATCCAAATGCTAAACACTTTGTAACTCTTTGGAGAAATAGAGTTACAAAGTTTAAAGGTATTGTGCTTGTATCCTATCTCTGTTCTCCTCCCACCACTGCTTTGCATTTACTTCTCCAAATCTTTCGCGGCTGCCCAATTTCAATATCCAAATTATAACCATACATATCTAAATTTATAGACAATGAAATATATAAATAAATAAATATGAAACTGATCACCTGAATCTAACACGCCGGAGTTCTCTGGTGCCATCAACCAACTGTCTGATGGTAATATAAACCCCGGGTCCATCTTGTTCAACCCATTCAGCCTCCATTTCACTCGCATTGCTCACCGAAACAGAAGGCTCGTCTCTCGACGAGGTCGTCGTTCGTGCAGCGTCAAAAAATGCATCACCTCTTGTGCGACCATTATGCCCTGCACTGTAAGGCTTATAGTTGTTTCTTGGCGTCCAATGAGGCATGGGACTTTCCATTGCAGATCCCATCCTTGAATTACAGGAATCCCTTTGCGTCTGCAGTGTATAATTCAAATTGATTATCAAGTAACAAAATGTATTGAAAGGAAGGTGGTGGCTTACCTCATCTTCAGACCTTGGGGGTGTATGTAATGCCTGACGATTGAATCTCTGTACATTGTAGAGCTCCATGATTCTATCATAATTCTCATCCCACCACTGTTGTGCTTGCCACTTGTTGAACATCTCCCGACTTCAATATACATATTCTTACTTAAGTTTCGCTAACAAAAACTCTAAAGTACAATGTGTTTCGAAACTGAAATCATTGCCGGCATGTGTGGTTGGTGACATACCTGAATCGAATCCTTTTCAGATCATTTCCTCCATTAGGAAGGGACACAAAAGTTATATGAACACCAGGTTCCTCCATTGCCATCCATTCCTTAGGCTCATCCTCATCCTCTAACACCAAATCCTGCGCCGAGAAAGACTCTCTATACACCGAAGTTCTATCACCAGTGAATACACCGGTAAATCTAGAGTCCGACCGTCCTGGATGATGACCGTCACTAACGAAGTCCCATGCAGGCGTTGAGCTAGTGCTTCCACATATGTAGGGGTATGGAACACCTTCCGAAGCGGTATCGAAATCGGGACACGGTCGGCTTCCCTTCTTATAGCTGCTGGAGCCTGCGCAGGGCTTGCATTGCTTGTAAGCCCCGGAAAATTTCGATGCCATATCCTTGATCTGCACATTATCAGAATTCAAAGCTAATGAGAGGCGCCAAATACTGTTGGTCTGTTATGAATCATCGATTTCAAACTACAGCAAACACTGTTGGTTTAACAGTTAGAACTGATAAATTGTACTTGTCTGTTACCATCTGAAGAGCTGTTCTAGCTGTCAATGTGTATCATATCACTGCACATTCAATCGCATAGATTCTTCTTTTCTTCTCTTTTCTTTCCCCCATACCATATGGCATATGCCTACTTTTCAAACAGTGGATCTACAAGAATTCAGTGGTGGTCAGGCCCAGGTCACTTGGGTTTGTATTTTCTAAAGATACCCCACTTCCTATTTGCCATTATACTATTTAAGACATTTGACTGGGTAATTAATGGTCAGATGTCTCTCACGGGTGTGAAAAAAATATCATGTGATTTATTCGATTCGTTGATGTGATCTAAAAATTTAAATATTCGAACTATTTTTTTGGCTTTCAGTTAATTCCGATCGGATACCAAAGAAAAAATGAATAATCATACATATTTACTAAATTCTAATTTTTGGTTATCCAAAAATCCTATAAAAATTGGGATCTTTAGAGTTTAGAATGCCTCTATCCCAATAAGTAACCATTAACCCAATAAGCCTCTAGTACATTAAAAATCATGATGTTTATCGTGCATGAATAATTAATTTTTTTTATAAATTCTAAATCTAATCTTAATCCTATCAAGAGGGGAGGAAAAAGGAGAACTCTAGGTGAAGGAAGTAAGGTGCTCCTAATGAATCTATAATTTATTACCTAAAGAAATAATAGAAAACAAAGATAAGTAGCTTGGCTAAGTGGCGAAATAAGCTTACCGTAATATATAGAGAGAGGGGTTGCATAGTCATAAAATATAAAATTTAAATTTATCAAATTAAATTTATGTTTGGATCTGAATATCTGATTTAAAATTTCATATATTCGAAAAATCAGTTTTTTTTTGGATTGATTACGAATTATAATTTTAGTAGTCTGAACGGATAAGAAAATGCACACCTCTAATATCCCCATCAAACACCTGCATGGAACCTAGGTAATAAGTGGAAGTAGGGAGGATATTGGCCAGGAATCATGGAAGTGATTTGATCCATTCAAATCCACACTAATCTACAGAATATGTAACCCATACGAACCGGAAGTGTTGTCTGCATATGGCCTAGTTCCTAAAAAAACAAAGTGGGATCGTTGTACAATTGGAACGGCTGATGGGGACTTTACTTGGGGCGAGATTCTTGTTGCTCTAAGTCACGCAAATAGCTACGAGATTCTTATAGCCCCTGCACCACAGTGAGCAGTGCAGTTCACTCCAATATAAACCGGGACTGCATCCTCGCCGTTTTACTCGGTTTCAGCTCCTCACTTTTAGCCACTTTTATTAAAACCCTCTTTGCCCATCGGACTCTTCAAGGATGTTGCCTTTGGCTTTATTGGTTTTCAAGATGCAACCCTCAGCTTAATCTCTTCGTTAAAGCTGCTAAACCCTAAACACCGAATGCCGCAAATTTACTCTCGTCCTAACATGCTTTGGGTTTTGGGGGTCTCGTAATTCATAAATTTACCCTTATAATAATAATTAGGAATGAATAAAAAAATTTAAAAAATATTTTTTAATTAAATTCATAACTTTATAAAATAAAATAAATTATAAAATATAACTCTTCAATTCAACTACGACTCATCAAAACATTTCCCTAACCACAATACTAAAGAGTGAAGGGAAGGAAGTAGAACCTGTGTGGTCAGGCTTTTGACAGCTTCTTTAGTGCTAGGCGTGCCACTTGCACGCGCTCCATCTACTTCTTCCCCTCCATCCGCCATTTGCTTTGTGCACGCTATGCACGTAAACATCTTCTCTCCTCTTCTCTTTCTTTCTTTGCTTTTGATTTATACTTTTCTTGTTGTCTTCTTCTACATAAAACCATAAAAAAAATAAATAGGTGCATCCTTTTCGAGGGTAATGATGGTCAACTAAAACATTCTGCATGCAGTTGGTTGGTTTAGAGAGGGGAGACATAATTGCAGATGATTTGAGGAAAAGAGAGAAACAAAATGAACAGAAAAACCATGGATCAGAGAAGAATCCTACACCAAAGAAAAAGTGCTCGTTATTGTTATATTTTGAAAAATGTACAGTCAGTAATCGGAAAAGTTAAGAAGGAAACATAATGGGAAAGTAACCTAGCTAATTGATCAAAGGAACAAGAATGGAATCTATGCTTTGCTTTAACGTAACCAACATAGATTCAAACTTATTAAAAAAATGCACCGTTCAAGCAAGCGACCAAAAATAATGCCATAGAGAAACAAAGGAGCAGTAGAGTAGTTTTCTTTTTCTTTTTCAATCAGTTTTTATCGAAGACGAAGAAGAAGATGGAACTAACAGAGGAGAATATTTAGCAGCAATGTGTTGGACGTTGAAAACTACCATTTGACATCATTTGTTGTTCGAAAACGACTTACCCTCGATACTCTCAAATGCTGTTTTCTTTCTTTTCCTTAGCTGTCCTTCTTTATATCTCTGCTCTCTGCTTTGCTCTGTTCTGCTTCCGCCGCACAGCTACGAATCAAAAACTGGTGGTTTTTCGTTCATAAAAACACGTACTCAGAACGAATAGCTTTAATAACATTAAAAAATAATGCAAAGCATAAAGGAAAAGTAATGCTCTGTTTGTTTGCTGAGACAAGAAAAAAAAGCTAGGGAAAAGGAGGAGGAGGAGAAGACCCAGTCACCTTGTTCGACTTTAATAACACAGTAAAGAATTTGAATGTCTTAGAGGTTGAACGACGAAACTTTGCTCCGTTCTTCTAAAGCTTGAAGCTTTGATATCAGAAAAACCTTAAAATCTTTGAATGAGCTGAACAATCTCGAGAAATCGAGAAGAAATGATAAAATATATCGGTAGGGTGACAAAAATGCAGGCTATATATCGGCCGAGAATCCGAGACCTTCCCAAAAACGGAAAGCTTTGGATTTGAACAGCTCGGTGGTTTAGATTTTGGAAAATGAAGCCAAAAATAGGAAAAAATTAAATGAAAAAGGAAGAAAGAAATCGAGACAAAGGAGACGAAAACAAATTAAGGACGTGGTATTTATATAGACCGATAGACGGGGTTAAGGGGTTGACGGCATCTGTGGGTTCTGCCGTTAAATAACGGAAGTAAAAAAACTATGTTCTTGTTTGTTACTACATGTAAGAAATCGGAACCTGATCGGAGACGGAAGCACGTGTAGAGGCCACGTGTTTTGCTGATGCAATAAATTTAGTTAAATAACATTTTTGATTGAAAATTAAGAAAATGGAAAGACTCAGTGTTATTCATATTGCATAATTACAACCAATGAACATATGTAAAATATATATTCTGAATTAAGATTGGAGTTAATTGTATTACACGTATCAAAAGCGTGTTCTACATTTTTACATTAGTCTCTAGAATTTTTAACAATTTAAATTCGTTCTTAAACTATGATTCTTATTCTGAATTGTTCTCCGAATTTTTTAGCATTTTAAATCTATTTTCAAACTAATATATTCATTTTGAATTGGTCTCCAAACCTTTAAACATTGTAATTTCCTCCCTTAACTTTTGAATAATTTTGGGGGATGTTATTGGAACGCTCAAAAGTTTGGGATCAATTTAGAATGAGGATTATAGTTTGTGGGTGAATTTTGAATGTTCAAAAGATTGAGAGATCAATTTAGAATGAGAGTCATAATTTTAGGATAAAATTATCATATTTAAGAGTTTATATACAGATTTAATATAAGAATAATAATTTAGAAATATGTGGTTCATTTATCTCTTAAGATTGTAAAACGGTCAAAACCTGCCTTAATTAACTCTCATTTTCAAGTTATATTTGGTTATTTAACAAAAGAGTGCCTTTGGCTTTATTGCACGGTTTGCCACATATGAAAAGACACTGTCTTAAGGAAGAATCCTCGTCCCATGGGATCATTTGAAGAAACGTCTTCGTCCCATGGGATCATAAAATTCAAAAATATTTTTTAGAATATATACTATAATATTAACGGCATTTTTTTTAAAAATTGAATAGATACAAATAAAATTTTAAAGTGGGCACCGTACTTAAAATAAATAATTAATCAAAAAACACATATTTTAGTGTTGGCGTGAAAAATTCTAGTGGACATCATCAATAAAATTAAATATCTAATTGAAGAAAATTCAAATTTCAAAGTAGATACGTACCTACCCTTGCCAAGTTGTGCCTCCGCCTCATCAAAATAAATATTATTTTGAGAATTTAAGATGTTTGAGTACTATTTTAATAACAAAAAAAAAAGTTTCGATATTATTTATATAAAATTAGTAATTTTGATTTAAATAAAAAGGTTGCGTCCATGGAGCTAAATCATAAAACCTGCCCTACTCCTTAAGGCTTAAGCAAACAAAGAAGAGAAAGTGAAAAAGGAAAAGTTAATGCCAAATTTAAGTTAAATTTGAGTTGTTCAGATTGAGTGGAACTGATAAACTAATTTTGCAAATATCTTTTAAAAAAAACAAATAGTTTGCTTTGAGGTTATAAATACAAAAGATTAGTCACTCGTTCAAGACTGAAAACTTTTTCTTAAAAAGTGATGACCAGAGTTCACAAGCCCATCAAGTATAGAATCTTTGGTTAACATTAAGCTTTGGATTTAGAATAATCATTAGCTAATTTATTGCTTAGCAAGGGTTAGTTTACTTGCGCACATGCAAAATAAGTACGTTTTTTTAATTAATCATTGGTATTCGATCTATTGACCGACTAATACAGATCGAATACTGCAAAGGTGAGGGCGATCCTCCCAACCTAGTTTGCTCCATTCGCAAACGTCAGGTTTCGAACCCTTGACCTTGCTTAAGAGACATAGTATCTCATCCCACTAGACCAACTGATTGTTGGTAAATAAGTACGTTTTCTTTCTCGAGAAGAATGAAAACCCCAGGTAACTACATGAAGAATTTCGAGAGAATAAGAGGCTTGCCAAGTTTTGAGGCATGCAACATGCATGTGAAAATCGTTCATAAATGTGCAATGACTTAATATTATTATATTTTCACTTGATTTTGTTCCTAAATTCTATTTTTTGTTATTTTTTTTCATTTGTTGACGTCTTTAAAGTTGTAAGAAGTCTCAACTGTTATAAAAAAATAGAATCTAATATCCTTTGAATTGTTGTAATCCCTCGACGTAAGTAATATATGATTCATATGATTTATTGGGTCTAAATCTACTATATAACAATCATATCTATTTAGTGTGTCGACTTACAACTAACTATCATTATCCCTTAAGTGACACCAACACTAAAAATTAATATATAAATCATCATACATGACTGAAGAAGAGAACATAAACTCTCCATCTCTCGATTAATAATATTATTTATCATCTTCTTATAATAATATGTTTTACGCCAATACAGTTATAAATCATAATTTTTTTTTATCTAACTAATAAAAAAATAACTCATCAAATATAAATTATAAATAAATCTCAAACATTGTTGCTTATATATACATTTATATTAAACTACGTAATTTTTTGTAAGGAAGACAAGTAGGGTTGGAGTGCATGCATAGATGGTCCGAGTGAAGGGTGTGTGGTACTTGGATGCACAACATCTGGTGAAGGAATCAACACTGCTACCAATCCAAATTGGATACAGGATGATATCCGGTCTTGTCAAACACAAGTTTATACATAACAAAAAGGGTTATAATTTAACGAGGAAACCCAAATTCATTTGAACAAAAGAAAGGTGTTTCTTTGGTTTAGGGTTATGGTAGATTCTTATCTGTCTGAGCTATGACCAAAGACTGAACAAATTTCCCTCTCCATTTGATGTTCAGAGATGACTGACTAAACTAAACCGGCCATGACCCATCACTAATCCTTTGGGAAGTGTATTGTTTTTTCTGGGGAGCAGATGCAGAACTTTAACCCAGATAAATATTAACTGGCTATTGTCGGTTGTCAGTTTTGGGACTTATGGACAAGTCTATTGTTTTGTTTGTTTGTATGTATGTGAGCTTTTTTAACTCAAATGTTATTTGTCTGTCCTTAGCTTCAACATTGTTTAAGCTAAGCATTGTTGGGATGGAGGGACAAAACAAAACGATACAATGATAACATTAGTATCTAAAGCTTATATAAAAGATAATCTTGTCTTTTTTTTTTTGGATATTTTAATTTTAACCTTTCTAACTAACATCAATGCATGTTACTAATGCTATATTCATACGTGTGTTTAATTGATAACATGACATTTACCACGTCACCCAGATTAATGGCATAACACGTGACACGATATTAAAAGTTGATTGAGTATTAATTTGATTGATAATTATAATATTTAAGAGATCTTAAATTTGAGTGTGCTTAAACGCAAATACCACGACCACTATATTCGTTTTATAATTATTATTTAGGTTGTTCATGGACGGTTAACTGTACCGTTTATCCTAAAAGGTCGGTTAATCGTTATAACGGTTATGAGATTTTTCTAATCGACGGTTCGGTTATTACGGTTAACCTATTATAATTATTTTTTTTCAAAAATAACACAACATGAAAATTTGAAATGTTCATAATTCATACTATAAAAAAGTGTAACACTTAACACAAACTTATATCGGTGCAAGTGAATTAAATAGAAAAGTGTATCACTTAACACATAATTATATTGGTACCTATATGCGCATCTTCTGATATCTTGATACCTAACAATAAACAAATAATTATATTGATGTAAGTATGTTTATGTATTTTCAAAGAAATTAAAAAATAATAAATACATATATCAAGTTATTTATGTATAAATTTTATTAAAAATATATAAATTAGAAATAATAAAAAAATTATATTTTCTATAAACTTTCATGTAAATATTTTACT